GCGGAGTACTGGTGTAACTCTCCAGGAACGATAGTTAAGAAACTACCCGCCTAAATGACTATAATACTGTTGGGAAAAGGCGTAAAATGAAACAAACAAACAAAAAAATCCTTACTAAATACCTGATTTTATCAATTCGACTGTTTTACTTTAGTCTGGTTTAGGGAAAATGTATTTTCTAACTCATTTAAAGATCCTGTATATTGTATAAAGGATGTAACAACACTTAAGTAAAATTTTATATATGTATATAATTATTCTTCTAAAACAATTTCCAAACATCCAATAATATGTAAAATATGTTCTGCAAATGTTTATACGCATTATAAGTAATCTCAAAAATATATGCACTCATTTCTTATTGAAAAAATTGGACTTTATCGAAAAAGAATTTATAATTACCTCCCTTTATTTACATGAAAGGTAAATTTGGCAATTTCTTTACATATAATGCATTTTGGAACTTACAATATTGATTAATAGTCCTTTGAACATCATATTTATGACAGAAAACCATAAAAATTGTAACAGGATCTTAATCATTAATGTATTATTTTATCAATGATTGATCAATGTCTAAAAACCTTATTTGAAATAAAAGAAAATGCAACATGTGTGCTTATTCGATACTCCTGTCCAGACATACATGAAAGATCATTCAATGTGGAAATTTTGTTGGTACTTTTTCTAATGACAGTTCAGTATTTTTTAGATTGTAGCTTGACAATAATATTTATTTCAAATGTTTTGTATCTTCATTAAAATCATGCATTTAAATTAATATGATGAAATCTTTAGATACCAATAAATGAGGTCGAGAAATTTCAAATGTGCTATGCATTTCAATGATGTGGAAAAAAAGACGCAGCAACAAATTTGATAACGTTTACCTTGAATCACATGTCTTAAAATACATTTTTACTATTTATTTAAATCTCAAAATGCTTTTACATTCGGATTCAGCGAATAGTAAGTACGTCGCTACACTGTTTCATGATTGGTTAACATTATGGAAAATATTTAAATTTCGAATCTTTTTATTTTAAATTATTTGTTTTGATATCTTTATCAATCTCACAAAGTAATGACTTATCCATATATATACAGTAAATTCAAACACATACTTCTTGTAATGGTTGTTTTATTTGTGTCAAGTTCATTGTTTTATAAGTATGTTTATTGCTAAACATTTTAGGTGTCTTTTGAGAATTAGACTTCATGTAAAATTTATCATAAGCCTTTTTCAAGATGCATTAGTCTATGTAGAAACTTATTTTTAAATACATGTATATTTTATTGCTAAATTATTGAGAAACTGTTTTTTATATCACATACAACGCAAAATATTCTGTTATTTTGAAGTGTGTATTAGAACATTTTTTAATCGTTTTCGGTAATATGAATTCATTAATATATAAATTCATTTTTGGACTTGTACAACAGCGTGTCCCTTTTACATACTTATATACTGTGTTTGTATAAATATAAGCCTGCAGTCATCTATTTTCTTTGGTTCCTTTGCTCTCGGAGGGTCTCCTCATCCTCATTTAAGACTCTTTCTACATACTTGTTTTTTCAAGTGTCTGTTCCATGCAAATTATTTAAGAAAATCCAAACGACTTTCTTTTGCACTGTAAATGAAAGTGGAGTTTGCTCGGCCTCAAATTCATGAACGATTTGTAATGTTTTTGATAATTTTGCTATAAGTCACTTTCAAAATCATTACCGTCCCCCATATTCCCCGTGCTTCTTTTCACCTCTGTCTTTCATTTTTGGTTGTAGTAACATGACTTCATTAACCTTTGTGAATATATAATATATACATTTTTTCTAATCCATTTGCGTTTAGGGTGTCGTGTGGTTACTGGCAGTTATCTTTAAGAAATAAATGTATCAATCCAAAGATATATATTTGTTTGGGGTTTTTTTTGTTGTTGTTTTTGATGTTTTAGACATCTTTAAGACTTATCAAGAAATAGTTATGTTAGCCATGTTATTCTTAAGCCTTAACAAGTCCTATTCATTTTAGTATGCTCTGCTGAACACAAGTGATGAATAAATTTAAACAATTCATCAAATGAGAACACATTTGATTAATCTGAATAATTCGGTTACGTTTTTCAATTTGAATTCATCAAGAAATGTCTGGAAGCTTACAACCCAAAATGACAGACATTAAATCATGTTGACAAACCACTTTGTTTGTGTCTGTTGGATTGCCTCTTTTCGAATCATAAGCAAATAAGAAAATAAGTCTGGAATAAAAGAAAGAAGTTTTAAGTGTCTTTAGAATCCATTACTCATTATTTTGATGAAATATACCAATAAGAAGGAAATGTGTTTGATTGATTATATGGCTTTTAAATTCATTTTTAGCTCACCTGACCACGAAGTGGTCAAGGTGAGGTATAGTGATGGGGCTATGTCCGGCGTCCGTCGTCGTGCGTCGTTCGTCGTCAACAATTGGGTTGTTAACAGTCTAGCAGTCACAGTTCTGATTGGATCATCATCAAACTTTGTCAGAATGTTTGTCTCAATGAAATACAGATCGAGTTCGAAGATGGGTTATCTCCGGTTAAAAACTAGGTCACAGTAGCTAAAAATAGAAAAAGCTTGTTAACACTCTAGGGGCTGCAGTTTTCATCCAAATATTCTGGAAATTTGTCAGGAAGGTTGTTTAGATGATATCTAAGTTAAGTTTGAAGATGGGTCATCTCCGGTAAAAAAACTAGGTCACAGGAGCTAAAAATAGAAAAAGCTTGTTAACACACTAGTGGCTGCAGTTGTGATTCAAATATTCTGAAAATTTGTCAGGAAGGTTGTTTTGATGATATCTAGGGCAAGTTTGAAGATGGGTCATGTCCGGTCAAAAACTAGGTCACAGGAGCTAAAAATAGAAAAAGCTTGTTAACACTCTAGGGGCTGCAGTTTTCATCTAAATATTCTGGAAATTTGTCAGGAAGGTTGTTTAGATGATATCTAGGGCAAGTTCGAAGATGGGTTATCTCCGGTTAAAAAAATAGGTCACAGTAGCTAAAAATAGAAAAAGCTTGTTAACACTCTAGGGGCTGCAGTTTTCATCCAAATATTCTGGAAATTTGTCAGGAAGGTTGTTTAGATGATATCTAAGTTAAGTTTGAAGATGGGTCATCTCCGGTCAAAAACTAGGTCACAGGAGCTAAAAATAGAAAAAGCTTGTTAACACTCTAGTGGCTGCAGTTTTGATTCAAATATTCTGGAAATTTGTCAGGAAGGTTGTTTTGATGATATCTAGGTCAAGTTCGAAGATGGGTCATCTCAGGTCAAAAACTAGGTCACAGGAGCTAAAAATAGAAAAAGCTTGTTAACACTCTAGTGGCTGCAGTTTTCATCTAAATATTCTGGAAATTTGTCAAGAAGGTTGTTTTGATGATATCTAAGTCAAGTTTGAAGATGGGTCATCTCCGGTCAAAAACTAGGTCACAGGAGCTAAAAATAGAAAAAGCTTGTTAACACATTAGGGGCTGCAGTTTTCATCCAAATATTCTGGAAATTTGTCAGAAAGGTTGTTTTGATGATTTCTAGGTCAAGTTCGAAGATGGGTTATCTCCGGTCAAAAACTAGGTCACAGGAGCTAAAAATAGAAAAATCTTTTTAACACTCTAGTGGCTGCAGTTTTGATCCAAATTTCCTGGAAATTGGTCAGGAAGGTTGTTTTGATGATTTCTAGGTCAAGTTTGAATATGGGTCGTGTCCGGTCAAAAATTAGGTCACATTGCCCAAATATGGAAAAATCTTTATAACACACTAGAGGTCACATGTTTGACTCAGTTGTCATCAAACTTGGCCATGATGCTTGTTTAAGACATTGCTTGGATGCGGTTGTGTCAGGTGAGCGATCCAGGGCCATCATGGCCCTCTTGTTTTTATATTTTAGTCATATACATTTTAAGGCATTAACATGTGCGAAAGGATTATGAGAAATATATATTTGATACAGTATACAGTTAAACATTTGTTAAAGTCCATCGCATTTTATACACTCCTTTATGATAAGGATGCGAATATACGTAGTGTTTTTATAATTAATCTATTTTAGCACATAATTATATATAATTATCTTTTTTTTGAGAATTACTAGTTTTCTTCTCTTGTCCGGCCTCTTCACGTTCAAAATATATGAAGGGATATAATTATTTTTCCATGCGTCTTAAAAATAAACTACTATGTGTTTATTATTTATTGTATCGCAGTTTGTGTCTGTCCACTATGGAAAGCATCGGATAAATATTCCAAGAATTATTAATATGTTTTAGTATTAGTTGTAGTAATAGGTGGTTTTATTTCTTTGTGAGACAAAATTCCTCCGTGCTATTGTGTTTAATGTAAATTTGTCTCTCAACGCTGATTCTGATATCATTTGGGATAAATAGTCTATAATATGCGAACCAATATTAAGCAATTACTAATTAGCTTTCCAGGAGCGTCCGTGGCCCATTGGTAAAGGTCGTTGACTTCACACCACTAACCCCGCATCGCTTTAGGTTCGAATCCCGACAAGGACTTTGGATTCTTTCATGTGAGGGCTATCTACCTAGCTTACCAAACGACGGTGGTTCTATTAAGGTACCCGTTAGTGGCTGGACGTTGACTTCACACTACTTGCCACTCATTGCTGTCGGTTGAATTCCGACAGGGACTTTGGATTCTTTTATGTGAAGAAGCTATCCAAGTAGCTTACGAAACATCACTGAATCTACTCAGGTGTCCGTTCGTACCTGAAATAATACACGAAAAGGCGCCTTAAGTCTTCCTTTACCAGTTAGACTGGAACGTCGCCACATAACCACCTGTACTGTGTCGGTGTGACGTAAAATCCAATTAAGCAAACAAAACAGGCAAGGGAAAGCCGGTAAGGTTAATCGACCGCCGATATATGACATACACATGTGTTAAATTAAAACAAATTATCATATTTTACATTTTATTTCAATGACAATAAAGAATTAAAACAAACATAGTTTCGTGCTTTCTGTATTTAATGAAAATCTTTATAATAGATGAGCATTACTGTCATTTTAACATACAACAAATTTAAAAAGGTACACGGCCCTTAATCAAAATCGGCCAATTCAATTTAATATCTGTTCCTTTGTATTGAGCGAAATTCTTTTAGAAATTATAATGATTTCGTCGGGTTACATGTACACGATAAAAAGTAAGTCATTTTAAGAATAATTAAAATAAGATAAACTCGAACGAGGAAAATATCTTTTCACTCTTTCACTAAAAAACTCAATTTAACTACAATTATTGCCATACAATGAAACTAATTGTGTGTGTTAAGTCGTTACAGCACATCAGAGATGACGCATAATTAATTATCAAGGGGGTATACTTTTAGTAATCTAAAACAGTCGGTTTTGATTATTGGTCGTTTAGCTTTGAAAAGAAAACAATATTGAATACTGATATGTAATAATGAAGTCTTTGAAATCGTAATCCAAAACAATCGTATATATTTGATAATGTACACTTAATTGAAACGAAAATAAACTGATTGGAATATTTGTATTAACGATTTAGTCTAAAACATATCTTGTATTACCCATGTATCAATGAATAATTGATTACTTGAAAAAGAGATTGAACAAAGATAACATTTTTAGATAACTTTCAACTATTTTTGTTTACTATATAAGGCAAATAACAACATTTTAAATGCTTTAATATAAATATGAAAACTTAACATTTAAAGATCACCGGATTGGCTAGGATTATCTATATTAAACAATATAATAATTATCTTCCTCAAAATATATACCACAAATTAATAATAATAATCAACTGTAATCTGTAAAACATTTGTATACTATGTATCGATATTAAAGATTCGAATACAATTATGTCAATAGTAAAGTAGCTGAAAAAAAGTTTTCACCGGTTTTGATAAAAAATATTGTTTATCACTAAAATTCTCATCAAAGTTATTATAATTATATATACATACATATAAACAAATAAATATCAATGAATGCTTAACTTCAAATAAAGACTGTTTTATATTTCATGAAATATGGGCGAATAAATGAATCAATAACAATAAGATGATACTGATCGCTTTAAAGAGTAACTAAGTTTGAACAATTACCAACGTAGCCTTTATATACATTATGAGACAAATGGATTTAAAGCTCAAAAAATGAATATTTATACAGTTTAAAATATATTTGTGTATAACTATTTCTCCCTGTTAAGGATGGTGATGCAAACTGGATGATTGTTATTATCAGCATAAATTAGAATATGTTCTGCTTAAATGTTTCGAAAGAATTTATCTAAAACAACTGAGAACAGCAAAGTATAGGACGAAGCATCTAATATACATGTATATACAAATGTTATCTTTATCTATTTTTCAACCATTTTATGGTCTATATTATACATTAAAATACCTGTAAATTGAGCAATAATGTGATAAGGCACCTTGTATAATAATTTTACATGTACTCTCACATTGATGAAAATGACTGTTTTAAGACTAAGTCATCATCAAAACGAAAATATACGGAATGAAACTTATAAAGACATGTCTAGATCAGCAGTACAAACCATATGCAGGTTTTATTGACAACTCAAATATTTGCGCAATCTAAAGACTAAAATTCGAAATCATAGTAAAGAAATTATATTGTAATGTTTACTTAATCTAAACATCACAAAACGATGTGCTGTCAATAAAGCATCTTCATTTGTACTAGGAATGTTAATAAAACAACAAAGCAATGTGTAATTCAAATGACAAGATCAACCCTTACAATGAAGTAGATTCTATGCCTTTGCTATCGTTCAGATTTGTCAAACTTACACAAAGTTTCTTAGCGGAGGCTTTTGATGATACGACAGACTCATTGCCAACGTTATCTAGCAAACTCCGCAAACTGTCTTGGAACACAGATTTTACCAAATGACTTGGTTTCCACTTAACTGAATCGTCAGATTGCGTTCTACTACCACATGCAATGCAATGTTTGCAATCACTTATTGTATTTGGCGTATTATTTTCAAGCAGAGGCCTTTCTTCTCGGCAAGAGTCACATGGCCTGTTCAATGCACTTTCTAAATAATCCGAATCGTCGTAGCCTGTCCTGTCTTCTGATATGTCGTTTCCAGCAGTATGTTTATGTAGTGTGTCCATTGATCCAGGTTTATGGATGTCTACAAATAACTTTTCGTTTTCTATATTCCCCTGACTTTTGACAGTTTCCATTTCGGAAAAAGTATCATTTGGCGTTTGATATCCAGGTACAACTGACCTGAAAACATATATGATTATTGACATGATTTATATTTATTTATTCATATTGAACATTTCTGGAAAAGTGGAATCAAATGAGAAATGCAGTACAATACAGACCCAGATATTTTGAGCCTACTCACTGGACACAATAAAAAAGCACCATCTCTTTATCGCATCGTCTTAAGCAGTGTTCAGTTATCAAACAAAATATTATCCTGTTGGGCAAAGACAACTTGAATTGTGTTTTACTTTAATTTTACCAAACGGTCATTCATGTAAGTTTCAAAACATCTAAACATCAGAGACGTTTGGTATGCTGCTTTGCAAATACAGCCAATATAGTTAACTTAACATTATGACAATAATTATTATAAGACATTCCATAATGGCAGGTCAGTAAAACCATAAATAATTCTGTTGATAAAGGGGACAACAAACACCGAAAGAATGATGCATGAATATTTTTTATGTCAAGATACATGACCTCACTATAACATAGCCATGTAATTTTTTCAAATCATATTTTTTTGAAAAATACTATTCATCACATAAATGTTCATACTAAATAATTACAAATTTATCAACGCTTTTGCTGAGAATATTTGAGAGACTATCCGAATTGTATAGTTCTATAAGCTTAGTGTTTTGATTTTATGTGAAATACTTATTGAACATGTCTTGATTGTAGACCAATAAACTTTATAATTCTTAAGTGTTAATTAGTGCATAATTTAGTATTAAATCAATTCAAAGACTTGGCATACTCATTTGCTGACTCATTGAAGTAATCTTCGCTAACTTCTACTGACAGATCAATATACGACATGGTTTCTTCTAGTAGTTTTTCTAATTCAATCCTTAGCTGTGTAAACGTTGGTCTGCTGTTTGGATTTGGATGCCAGCAAGAAAGCATTATCTGATATCTAAATAAACAAACGTTACTTTGTTAATTCATGTATCAGCTTAAATTTCAATAGGTATCTAAGCTAAGTGTGATATATGATGTCTTTTTGATGCAATTAATCGATACCCGAAACTTTACTTTCTATAATCTAGTTATACATTCAATGGTGTTAAATGAAATAAAAACAGAGGTGTCAAAACAGTTAAAACTTGTTATGACATTTCCAGTCTAAACATCTCTATTAAACTTCATCAAACATTACTTAGCACGTCATTTTTTATCTTTTATTAAAACGTTAGAGAGAATATCAGTTGTGTATATCGTCATTGAATGTTTAAATAGTAACATAAAAGTTAAATGGATTTAAAACGTTATGGACATGACATGTTTACAATCATACTCTCACAATTAAATGTATAAAATTAGGTCCATAGTAATCTAATCTGTAATAATGAGTTGCCGTACAATTTTGTGCTACAGTTTTCAGGTTTCTCCATTCTGTAACCGTCATTAAGTAAACCATACAAGTCTTTTAATGGAATGCTTGGATACGGGGATCCTCCTAATGTAACAATTTCCCACAACACAATTCCGAACGACCATCTGTAAATGTATCACATATTTTACCAAACATTCATTTTCATTTAAAGCTTACAGGGTAAAATTTAAACATGTTAAAGGCTTTTAAATTGATATGATTTGAAACGAAAACATGCTCAATAAAAATATAAAACTCTTTATCACTGCAATCACTCTTTGCAAGTTTGAAGAGAATATTAAAGATAAATAAATCGTTCTATTATAAGTAATTTCTCTTGTCATTTCCTTACTTCTCACCTTTTCTTACAATCATTTTCTTATTGTTTACATTTTTCATTATTGATACAAAAATACAACAAGTATAATTATGATATTATTTTGACAATCTTGTGCATAATTGTTATCGTTTTCAGACAGAAACAATAGGTGTTGCTTTGCATTACATCAGCATTACTTACGCGTCGCTCTTCACGGTGAATCTTTGACTAAATAACGATTCGATCGCCATCCATTTGTAAGGTAGTTTTCTTGCTGAAGTTGGTTGATAGACATTTGTTTCATAAACATCTCTTGTAAGTCCGAAATCAGATATTTTTGCATGGCGATGGTCGAACAATAAAATATTTCTTGCCGCCAAATCTCTATGTACAAACTTTCTTTGTTCAAGAAATTCCTGCAACAATATTTATTACTTATTTTTTGTACTTTTCTTGTCTACATTACATCGTTCATTGTATATGTGATTTGCTATTATTGCGTTGATAGAACAATAAAGTAGCATACCAATTGAATACTATTATACCAAATAAGACATATTTAGTGCTAAATGCAGTAAACATTTACGAGTTTCATAAAACTAATCAGCGTATATTTAAGTAATTAGTCCGGTCTTCTAAGATATTTCGAAATTAAAACGAATTCGTGGAAATGAAAGTACATTTGTCTGATTTAATCTTTAAAGACAATCTGAAAGACGAATGCTATTATAGAGTTCTAAATTTCTAGCACAAAAATGATTGTATTCCTTGTTCAACATACCATTCCCATAGTTATTTGTCTGGCATATGATATCAACTGTGCTTCAGATATTTCAGCAGTTTCACTCAAATCTGAAGAAATGACACTTAAGATGACATTTACAGATAACAAAACAATAACATATTAATTCACGCTGGCTGATGTTTCATATGTTTCATAAAGCAACGTTTTATTAACAAAAAGTAGAAATATCGACATATAAATTTATCATAACATCGTTTAAATGTACCATATGCAAACATTTTGTACTAGTTTATGCTAGAAATAAATTATTATTATTTATAATCTGAAAATATTTGTTTCATTCGTTTGGTGAATACTGCGTGATAACAATTTATGTAACTATGCATTGTTTTCTGTTTCATGATTCAGTCATTGACTTCATTATTTACCAGAACTTCCACTTCCATCGCTAGTCTGCTTTTCAGGTCGGAACACCTGATCTTGCATATAACAGTTTGTTGGCTTTGTCATTAGTCCATATGGCGTAGATATTGAATACATCAGCTACAATGATAGAACTAAGTAACTGAGAAATTAAAACTAATGAAACAATTACATATTATAAATATCCCATTATACAAATCACATTATCTATGATATTAAACAATTTTTACGTCATTACATAAGGCATTTAATTTTACAACTTACAGCAAGTATGAAACGAAACTTTACACTCGTTGCTTAGTACTGGCTAGATCCAGGAACAGATTCGTTCGAAAGTGTTTCAATAAGCTTATAACTTTTAACACAATTGAACTAAAACTGTAAACTTAAATGTTTATATGTGTTACTTTTCATATTACTAATTTGCTTTTTAAATAACATGTTTTTAGTATAAATCGGAAGTTGTTTAGAAATTGTTTTATGTAGTGTAAGGGAAACAACTTACTTTCTCTCTATATTTCCTGAGATAATTTCTTAAGTCCCCTAAGGCACAATAGTCCATGATAAGACATAATTTAGGCCCAGTCAAACAGCAACCAATAATGCTAACTATGTAAGGGTTGTGACCTAAATTCTTCATAGCTTGTATCTCTAACAGGAAATTCCTGGACTCATCACCGGTATAAAAGTCTACACATGGATAAAATACATCATAAGCAAAGACTTGTATACAGTAAAGTCCACATTCGACAGCTACATATAACTAATTTACTAACACACGTTTGTCCGGTAATACATAAACAGCTTTATACATTTTAACAAAACCTACATGACCTAAATGTTCAATTAAAAGAATAGCAATTTAGCGCCATTATTTTTTTAAATAAAAGTATATCTGAGGCAGACTCAATACAACTCATTGTCAAAGTCATGAACATTATAAGTTTTGCTTAATAAATAATCATTATTGAATATTAATTTAAAAGTATAAGTTATGATCCAATTAATTGCCATGCATAGTAAATTTAGAAAGCTATATGTCTAGTTATACAAAAATTGATAAAGTAACCATAATACAAATGTATTTTTCTTTTATTATTCCCTTGACATTATGCAAAAATCTGTATAATAAAATCATTTAAAAAAATATGTTTAAAATAGGATATAAATCGTTAAACGAGGAATTAAGTCAGTGATTGTAAAACATTGCAGACTTATGTATATCATTTCAATAACAATTATTTGATTGTCCATAATTGTTACTTGATTGCGCAACCTTATTCGAATTAATAAGACAGTGCTTATGCGAGTTAAAATCTTTAATAATTAAAATTTCATATCAAAAATATTTTATGCCAGAGAATAAACATATTGTAACAAGATTGACTCTTGAAGTACCTCTCAACATTTTGACAGCTACAATAGTTCCCTGTTGGTTTCTTCTATCTTCAGGATTAGGATAATACTCTGCTTTGACAACTTTTCCAAAAGCACCCTCTCCGATAACAGAGATAAAATCTAGACAGGAATAATCTATCTCATACCCATCCATTGCAAACTGAGCTTTCTTTTCACTGTTTATATTCAAAGCCATTCCATCATATATAGGATTCATTTCCTGGGTTCAAAATAAAGAAGCATTACATACGCTATTTATTAATAATTTTCAAAATATACTCTTTAAATCAAAATATTTTGATACAGTTTTTGGCGGGGTTGTTTTATTTTCAATAATTTTCAATATTTAGTCCTGCCGCTTTAACAAGTATAACATTGAACGTGAAGATTTTAATTATACCGAATTTTTTCCATACACGTCTATACTATAATAGAAAAACATGTTTCAAAAAGTACCTCCACTGGACCAAATCGTCTTTGTGATGGATACCTCTTGTACTTCCTCCTCCGTTTTGCAATAATAAACCCTATTACTACCACTAAGATGATGATGAGGACCAAAGGTACTAACACTACAGACAATATCTCTTTGATAGTTAGACTATGTTCTGATTCTGAAAACATGTTTTTATTATTTTTTAAATTTCATTTTTCAATTATTATGTTTAAATTATCTCTATCCAACATACATGCAATGTCTTTTTATTTAGTCAATGATTGTGAAAACTAGAGTTTCAGTAATTGCAATATTAACCAATTCCGATTTACTTTTCAAATATCAACAATTAGTCCAAAACACTTTAGAATAATAACAAAATAAAACAAAACTGAAACCATTCAGAATGCCAAGACGGCAGATAAAAAGCTGTAAGCTCGTTGTAAGTAGACCGCTTAAACACTGATTGGACGTACGGACAACATAGTCTAAACACCTTATACCTTTAAGCATATGGATTTTATTATTTCTATATTAATGTTATAGCATGTCATCTTACCTTTATCAGACTGTTCAGTACTACTTGGTTCCTCGGTATATGCATCGTCCGGGGTGTATAAACCTTAAATATAAACAAACCCCGATATCTAATAGTTTATAAGCAAGGTTTAGAAAAGAGATCATACAAAATTTAAACAATTTTATATACAGACATTCGTGATGGAAAGCATTACAATGTCGATGTGATTACGAATTCGTTTTATTAGAAAACTATTACATCCATTCGTATATTCTCTCTAAATCATTACCATCAATTACAGCAACAGTTGTTGTACAAGTGACTTAACATTTTGAAAATATTCAATTCATCTTTTATTGTTATCGTCAATTTATTAAGCCAATCATTAATGTCATGTCGTAAGATTTGTTAAATTAAAGGAAAGCTATAGTCACTTATAACTACTTCGCAAATTGTGTTATGATTTAACTTTACTTGTCACATAAGAAGAAAGACAAACGAACATATTGATTATCTCTATTTCAATAAGATTATATAAAACTCTCGAAAAGGGAATGTATGCAATTAAAGATAGCTCTTGAACAAATAAAATAGCAAATATAAAAAAAGAAAATAACTCTTGTTGTTTTAACAAGCATGCAGATTGAAGAGAAAAACAAACCTAATTTCCATTATAAATAATACATCTTTAAATCATGCATCAAAGTCATGCATGTACCACAATCACAAAAAATTGTGATTATTGTATCACGAGTAAAATATATAAACATTTCTACAAAATTTGCAAATATTTTTACATTCCACAAAACGAAAGCTTACAAAATAAGTGTTGGAATACATAATACATTATGTAAGTGCATATAAGCAATATCATTTGAAGAGATTCGTAATTGCATAGTACCTCAAATGTAGATTATAAACCAAGTAGAGTAATAAAAATAACAATGACAACACGATCTTAATTGATTTGGATAGTTAATGTAAAACACAAGGAGAACACAATAAAAGTAACACAACAAAAGCATAGAGTTAGATATAACCTAAAAACTAATTGTATTAATTAAATGTTGCTTAGTTTTGTTAAAAGATAAAAAAAATGAACAATAAGGTTAGGAATTTTGATTAAGAGGCGGAAAAGAACAGAAGGTGGACATAAAGCTAGAAACACAACATTAGTTTAGTTCTGGTAAGTGAGTTAAGAAACAAACAGCTTTGTGTTCTTTTACCAATGAAAACCATAAACATACATGTTGATCAAATAAATCTAAAATATTTCAGTTGCAATTCGGAGGGGTAGAATTTAATGCGAAACAAATTTATACAAATATAATTTTGTAAAATCTTTCAAATTAAGAAACTGGCAGGGGAAAGAGGCAACTAAATGGCATATATACATGCACGTACATGTAAGTATCTGCTTTAAAAATAAATCTAAAATGAAAGCAAAAATTATGTCATGTGAGAAAAGCTCTAAAGTCAAATGCAAGGCATTTTTTATCATAAAACTAGTTTTCTTCTGTATCTACTTAATTTAAGTATTTTCCATTGAGTGAAACCCCTGATGGGGTCCTAGCCTTTACTGCACACACTTTATTACACACACTTTTAAGGTAAACACTGACCCATTTTTATGCCAAACATGGCATGTCATAATTTTAGATTTAATAAAAAAACTGGATAATTTACGCAGACCTTTTAACAAATATGCTACTTAAATTACTCAACATCAAGATTTTAGCACTATAAATATAGACCACCGTCGGCAACTGTTTATATTATTAATTGTTCGTGTTATATATGTACAATGTTTCAAACATTGTTAAATTTTTAATGTAGTTACCATTTAGAAATTAAAAAAATACAGATAAAGTAAAACATCCATATGTACATATATTTCCCTTGCTCTTAGAACGAAAAACAAAACCAAAAAAAAAAAAAAAACCAAACCCGTTTTTTTAAAATGGGTTTTGGAAAAGGGCCCAGTTTAATAAAAAAAGGGTTTTTAATGAAAATTGGAAAAACCCCGTTAGAGTTGTTTCTTTGAAATTTTAAGTTTTTTAACCTAAAAAAAATAAAGAAAAACAAAGGGGGCCTTTGCCTCCCCCACCCAAAACCTTTCCACCTTTTTTACCCAATTTTTTTTAAAATTTAAAAACAAAACTTGGTAAAAACCCATAAAGAAAGATTTTTCTAAAAAATTTTTAACCTCGGGTTATTGGGTTTTTAAAAGAAAATTTACAAAAATAAATTTTTTAAAAGAAAAAACCCAAAATTTTTTTAAAACCCCGGGGACAGGGGCCGTTCTGCCGGCCAAAAGGGATTTTTTTTTAAAAAAATTGTTAGACAAAAAACCGAAATGTTTTCATGCTTTAAAAAAATCAAAAAAACCCATTTTTTTGGGGGTTTTTTTTAAAAAAGAATTTTTTGTTTTTTCCCTTACACTTTAAGGAAAATTTTGAAATAAAAGGGGGGGGCCAAATTTTCCCCCGGGGGGATTTTATTTAAAAATTGGTAAAAATTAAAACAAGGTTTTCATGAAAATTTTTAAATTACCTTTTTCTCTTGGGTTTCTTTAAAAGAAAGGGGCCTTTTTTTAATTTTTTTAAAAATTATATTTAAAAATTGGGGGAAAAATTTTCCAATAAACCCCCGGGGGCGGGAAAAATTTTTTTGACGAAAGGGGCTTTTTTTTTTTTTTTGAAAAACTTGGTAAAACCTAAATTTGAAAATTTTCCAAGTTATTAAGCTCACCCCCCAAAAAATTATTTAAAAAAAATTATTTAAAAAAGGTTTTCTTTTCCTTGCCTTTTAAAAAGTCTGAAAGGTTTTTTTTTCCTTATTAAAAAAAATTTTCTTTGAAAAATTTTTTAAAAAAAAGGGATTTTACTTTTTTGACAATTGCGTAAAATTTAAAACAAATAAAAAACCCTAAAGTTTTGGGTTTTAATTTTTTTAATATAAAAAAAAAATAATTTTTTTTGGAAAAAGGGGAAAAAACCAAAAACCGGTTTTTTGTTTGGGTTGGACAAACGGTGAAAAAAAAAGGGGTTTAAAATATTTTTTCAAATTTGAAAAAAAAAGAAATTTTATTCCAAAACCCTTTTTATAAATTAAAAAAATTTTAAAAAAATTAAGGGGCTTTTTCCCCTTTTGAATCCCGGGAAAAAAAAAACCAAAAAATTTTAGGGAATATTCCCCTATTTTACGAAAAGAAAAAAAGAAAAATTATTAAAAAAGGAAAATGTCAAATTTTTAAACATAAAGTTTAAGTCCAAATTTTCCAAAACTTTGGAACTTTTTAAAAAAGTACTTATTTTCCAACCCCCCGATTCTTTAAAACCAAAAAAACAAACAAAAAAATTTTTAAGGAATTTGGTTTTTTAAAAAATAAAAAAATTTTAACCTTTTTTTCCCTTCCCTTTTTTGAAAATAAAAATTTGAAAAGTTTATTTTTTGCTAAAAAAATAAAACCTTTTCCCCATGGGAATTCCCAAAAAAAAAAATTTTTGCCAAAAAAAAAATTTTTTTAAAAAAAGGGAAAAAATTTTTAGAAAAAAAGAAAAGGAAAAAAAAAAAAATAAAAAAAAAAGCTTTTTGCTTTTTTTTTTCTAAAAAATTTAATGGCAAAATCCAATTTAAGGGAAAAAACTATTAAATTTAAAGGGGAAAAAACCAATCCCCCCAAAAACCGCCAAAATTTTTTTAAGTTTTTTTAAAAAAGGGGACAAAATTTCTGTCAAAAAAAACTTTCCATTAAAAAAAGGGAAATTTAATTTTAAGAAAAAAGGGATTTTTTATTTTAAAGGGGGACCAAAGGTTTTTTGGGTTTTAAAACCATTACAATATTTTTAATAACCCCAGGTACAAAAGGGAAATTTTTTACCATTAAAAATTTTCCATTTTTATTTAAAATTAAAAAGCCCCTTTTTATATTAATTTTATTTCCCATTGATTAATCCCAATTCCTTTTAAATTTTTCAATTTGTTTAAAATTTTCCGGTGTTTTTTTTAAAATTTAATTATTTTTTAAAATTTTTTTTGGAAACATTAAAAATTTAAAACCTTCCTTTAAAAATTTCCCAAGGGGGTTTTGGGGGAAACAACGGTTTGGCCCCAATGCGGAACGTGAACAAAAATTTTTTTTTTAAAACTTTTCCTTTTTGTTTAAAAAAATTTTGGTTTAAGGGGAAAATTTTTTGAAAACTTTGTTTTTTCTTTTTTTTTTAACTTTAAAAAAATTGAAATTTTTCTTGTCAAAAAACAAAACATTTTTAAAGGCGTTTTAGGTGCTTCTTTAAATGTATCCAATTAAAATTAGAAAAAAATTTTAACCAATTAATTTCCCTTCCAAATTATTATTTTTTTTTCTTAAAATTTTTTTTAAAAATTATTTTTGAGATAATTTTTTGCAAAACCCCATAAAAAATTTTTAAAATTTTAAATTTTTTAAACTTTTTTTTAAAAAATAAAAAAACAAACCAATTTTGTTTAATTTTTTTGGGGAACACTAAAAAGTTTGAAAAAGGATTTTTTAAATAAAATTTTTGAATAACAAAATTTATTTTTACAAAAACCCTTTAAAATGAAAAAACCGGAAAAAAATTCATTTTTTTTTTATTTTTCAATTAAAAACAAAAATTTGACCCCCTTTTTCCCTTTGACCTTTTTCTGGAAGAAGCCCGTGAATAAAAAAAAGGTTTTTGAAATTTTTTCTATTTTTGTAAAATTGGGCAAAAAGGGTTAAACCCCCAAGTTAAGATTATTTTTTAAAAAGGGGACTAAAAAGTAGTTTTTTAAATTTTTAAAAAAATCCCAAATTTCTTAAATGCAAAGTTTTATTTAAGGTTTTATTTCTCATATTTTCTAACCATTTTGGTCCCCAAATTTTTTATTAAATTGATTGCACGTTTAGGCCGAAATTTTTTTCCTAAAAAAATCCTTTTCCAATTTTTTAAAATTGAAAAATAGCCAAATTAAGCATTTGGGAATTTTTTATTCAAAACCCAAAAACCCTTTTTTTTAAATTTTGGGGTTTTCTTTTTTTTTAAAATTTGGTTCTACCCCGTTTTTTTTTTTTAATAAAATTATTCAGAAATTTTTTTTTCCCAAAAACCCAAGAAAAACCACCGGTTTTTGGGTTTTTAACAAACCCATTTTTAAAACTTTTTTTTCAAAAACAAAAATTTTTTTTAAATTTTTAAATGGGGAAAACTTTTTATATTTGGGGGAAACGAAAATTTTTTTTCAAAATTTTTAAAATTGTTAAATTGCCAAATAAAAAGAATATTTATTTCTAAAAATAAAATTTTTTAAAAAAATTAAAAAAAAAACATTTTAAAATTTTTTAAAGGGGAAAATATCATTTTTGTTTTTTCCCCCGGGTTTTCCAAAAAATTTGTTTTTTATTTTTGATGTTGTTGTAGGGGGTTTTCCCAAATATTAAAAAGTAAATTTTTTAAAAGGGGAATGATTTTTGAATGTTTTTTTTAAATTTTTTTTAATGGGGTGTTTTTTGGGTTGTGGGGGATTTTTAAAAAAAGTTTATTTTATTAGAATGTTTTAAAATGTTTGTATGTTTTAAATTTGAATTTTTTTAAAAAAGAAAGGTAAGAAAAAGGGTTTGTTGAGGGTTTTAAAGGGAAAAATTTTTTTTTTTTTAAATGTATTTTTTTTTAGTTTTACTTTTTAAAATTTATTTATTTTTGAAAATTAAGTTTTTTTATGTTTTTATTTTTGGGTTTAATTTGTGTTTGATTTAAGCCCCCCCCCGTAGTTTTTTTTTAAATTAAATGTTTTATTAAAATTTGTTTTAATTTTTAATATAAAAGAAAACAGGGGTTTATTAGGTTGAATGTAAGGGGAGGAGATGGTTAAAAATTTAAAAATGGAAAAAAAAAATTAAAAAAAAGTTTTTGGGGTTTCCCCCAAAATTTTTTAAATTTTTTGAAAAAAATTATTTGTATAAGTAGTTTTAAATATAAACAATAAAAATTCTCCCTTTTCGGGCTTTTCATTTCTTTTTTACATTACAAAAATTTCATTTTAAAATTTTGTCTTACCTTTTTCCAAAAATTGTCGGTATCCTTTTTTTTTAATGCTTCTATGTTTTTTTTTTAAAAAATTTTTATTTTTAAACTTTCGTTGTTTAAAAGCCCAAATAAAATAAGAAACCCCAAATCTTTTTCAAATTTATTTTTTTTTTTTACCAACTTAAAATTAAAATTTTTTCCAAAAAGCCCCTTTAAAATGAAAAAAAGGGAACCAAACATAAAATTTTGGGTTAAAATTTAATTTTCTTTTTTTAAAAAAAATTTTTTGAAGGTATTTAAAAAGTTTTAACAAATTCGTTTTGCACTTTCTTAAAATAGAAAAAATTAGCATAGAAAATTTTTTTAATTTTTTTGGCGAAAACCAAAATTTGGGAAATTGGGAAATTTTAGTAAAAACATTTTTTAAAAAACCAAAAGGCCGGAAAGTTTTTATCTTTTTAACAAAAACCCCAATTAACTTTTGATTTTACCGCCTTTAATTGAAAAATTTTTTAAAAAACCGGGACATGTTTAAAATGTACACTGTGGGCCCGATTGAACGGTTGTCTGCCCATTGATTGTACGGGGGGTTTTTTTATATGAACATTTCCTACCCATTCTTAAAATTTTTTCCCATTTTATTGTCGGGTTTTTAAAACCTTTACATAGCTCATTGGTATTCGCCCCCCCTTGTTTTTCAAAATATTTTTTCCCCTCGACTTTTAAATATTTAGGACATTTTTTCCGTTGTTAAGCCCCGGGGAAAAGGGGAAGTTTTTTTTTACGGACGATTAAAAAATTTAGCCAACCCCAAAAGGGAAGTTTTAAAAAAATGGCTAAAAACCCCAAAATGTTTAAATTTGGTTGAAAGTGACTA